TTAGGACTCCTTTCTCCCTGGCTCCGTGCTGCCCGGCATAAGAGCGGGACTAGCCGCTCACCACGAGGCCCAGGCCTTTCTCCTGATGGGCCCCACATCCAAGCGCAGCTTGAGCGAAGAGAGGGCACATCCCAGCAAGAGGCCCTCAGCGGGCCCTGCTGCACACACAGGGTCGGGGCCACGGGCAAGAGGGCACCAAGAGCACCAAGATTCATTTCGCAAGAGCCAGGCGGCCTCTTTTCAGGGCTCTCTGCTGATTTGGAAAGGGGCTTGAGGGCCAGTTTTTGAGCTAAAAACCCCATTTGGAGCAAGCATCGCGTTGGTTCTCTGGCCCTGACAAGACTGCAAGGCTGAGCGCAAGAGGGTTAAGTGCAGGCTAGGGGCCCCCAGGGCAGCCCAGAGGCAGGCGAGGAGGACCAGTCAGGAAGGCTCCACCTCCATGGCTCCCTCTGGACCAGGACGGTCTGGGAATCAGGGAAACAGGACGTGACCAGAGTCAGCTGTTCAACAGGCGAAACGGCTGACCTGGTTGTCTTTCCCGCTCTCGTTTTCGAGTTTCCCTTTATCCACAAGTCTCCCAAAGCGCCCTGGAAGATTCCTTGCCCCGCTGAGAGCGGCCAGAGCCGGTGGTGATCCTCGTGCCACCGTTCTTTTCCCCAAGAGCCCCACGCAACCCTCCTCTTCAGCCCTCGTCCACAGGTCCTAGAAGTAGGGAGACCCTCTCGTGCATGGAATTCAGTCCCGTAGTATCTGGAGGAGAGGATGTCGCCAGATGTCCCTTTACTGTCCTCTCTGGCTTTGCAGAACCTGCCTCCCTCTCGGGGCTGGGTGACTCAACCTCTCTGCTCGGCTGGCTTCCTCGTGGCCCTGAGGCTCAGGTGTGCGAGGGCTCGGCTGGGCTGCACGGAGAGGAGGTGGTGGCTGAGGCTTGGGCAGCCAGGTCCCGGTAAGCGGGTGACTTCGAGAAGCGGGGATACGAGTCTTTCTCCATCAGGGTGCGTGCCTTCCCCTGAGCCACATCGAAGGCCGCGGCTGTGGCGGCCTGAAGGTTCGTCCTGGTTAGCTCCCTGGTCTCATGGTCTATGTGGTCTATGGCCACAAAAGCACAACTAATTTGCAGTTTTTATTGTGGAGGAGGGATGAGTACGGGGTGGGTGGAGGGGTTTTATGGGAGCACCTGGATGACGGATCCTTTGAAGCCAGTGAAGCGTGGTAGGTAGGAATCTGATAGAATTCAGCTCCACCTGCATAATCACATTCCTGGAAGTCTGGTCAGTGAGATTCAACCAAATGTAACCCCTCTGTTAAGTTTACCTTGAAAATCATTTAAATTGGCCTAAGTTTGGAATAGAGACAGTCTTTTATTGTTTTTAGTAAGTTTCTTACTATAAATTTTAAATACAAGTAATTAGTTATTTGGATAGTTTTATTAAACTAGTACCTGTACACAAGGTATTAACATATTTTATTACAGATTGCCTTTCTGAAGAGTAGTTTTAATTGTATCTGTATCACAGAGATCAGGCCCGTGACCTGGACTGGGGACTCCAGAGCCACACCCCAGGTAGGCAGGCTCATCCTCTAGGATGATGTGGTTACTCTTGCGTTTCAGGGAGACCCCAGGCCAGCACCTCGGGCCTGTCTCGGGGGCACCCGTCGGATTCTGCTTGTACCTGTAGAGCCTCCTGACAGGAGCTCCCTGGGCAGAGCAGCAAGCAGCCTTCTAGGCCGTGGGGACCCCTACCCCCTGCACACTGTCTATGGGCAAATTTCCTATCCGCCTTACACCTGGTCATGGGGTGGAGGCAGCTCACAGGCGAGGCAACAGCTAAGCACATGCGACAGGTTCAGAGAATGGACACCCACCCCCCTACCCCGGCTCGAGCTGGCCTCGGCCTCGTGCCTGGACACGTACCCGCTGTAGCTCCTGGTTCTTCTCCTCTAACTGGGCCTCCATCTGGCGCAGCCTCTCTTCAATGTTGCCATGCCTCTCCTCCGCCTGTCAGCAAGGAACAGCGTCAGTCTAGCTGACAATCGCACCCCGCTGACGACAAGCCAGCGACCACTGCTCGAGCGACAAGCACCACATGCCACGTGCGGGCTCCCCCGTGAGAGGGAGAGCTCGGGCTTCCACCAGCCCCGCGTCCACGCGGCTTCGGGTGCTGGACCGCGGCGGTGGCCGACATGGGAGGGAAGATGCACTCCTGCCCCCGCCCCGGGCCCGCATCGACGGGCTGAGCCCCGACCTCGGACAGGTGCCGGCGAGGCAGCCGGGCAAGCGGAAAAGCGGCAGGCACAAGGGAGCAAGGCGCACAGGCTACCTTCCTAAGCTGGGGAGCGAGTTCCCACAGCTTAGCCTCCTTAGCAGCGGAGTTTCCAGAAGACAAAAGGTCAGACTACAAGGCCGACCAGGGGCAGGAGAGACGACAGGGAGAGAAGAAACCAGGACTTTAAACGCAGATCACAAAGAGGAAACAGTGCTTCTGTGACAGCTGTGGGCGAGGAACTGGCTCCTGTGCACACCGGCACCCAGCCCCAGGGCCAGCAGCTCGCCAAGCTCCAGGCGGCAAAACACGACTCCTGACAGAGGAGCCAGCGCAGGCCCGGGCCGGCTCCTCCGTGCCTGCCCGGTGCCCGCCGGCTGCGCAGGGGAAGCCCTTCTAGGCCCAGGAAGGCCGGGTGGCCCGCTGGCCCGTGCTCTGCCGCTGGCGAGCGTGAGTCGAGCCGGCCCTGCGCCGGTGGGAGGCCGCCCCGGGGCAGGGGTCTGGGGGCTGCGAGGGCAGTCGTCACTCGCTGAGCAAACGAATTAATGACTTAAAATATGTTTATTACAGATTTATTCTGGTTGTCCTTCCGAGAGAACGGGACTTCCCTATTTCTGAGGAAAAAAGCCTGTCTTCCACACGAG